TAACATTAATAATTTATTTAAAAAATGTCCTTAAACTTTTAAACCACGTCATTAACACCACATTTATAAAGAATACAAAAAGTTCTTACCATATAGACATAAATTATCTATCGATACCTCATAAACTACACTCAAACGTTTTAATGTTACTTTTAAAAGTTTGAGTACGGTAGCAATGCAGTACTAATGATACTGTTATTTTTATACTATTTTTTTAAAAAAAAAATTAAAAGTATTTTTGAAGTTTTTAAAAAAATTAAAGATATTTAAAAAAAAAATTGAAGTTTAAATATATTATTGATACTTTCTATTGTCTAATATTTTGATAAAAGTTTTTATTTTTTTATTTTTAAAAGTATTTTTAAATACCAAAAAAATTGTTCCAAACCAATATTTAATTTCATTAAATGCCCATTTTCCATGAGTGACCGATGTTATCAAAGATCTAACCCAATATAATTAATTACTTCTATCCCAAAAAAAACCCAAAATAATTACAAATATTTAATACAAATAAATTGATTCTAATTAATTAATATAAATGGACTGTTGGGAGGAATTTTAAATAATTAATTATATTTATTGAAAAATAAAAACTTTAAATTATTTAGTTAATAAACTAATTTAATTGACATTCCCAAGTCAAGTTTGAATTTCTTACTCTATTTTAATAATAAATAAATATACTTTTTCAATAAAAAATGTTTTTGGGAGAAATAAAAAAAGTTTGTGTTTTTTTTTTTAAAAAAAACAAAAAATTTGAATAAATTCACGAAGATATATTTTTTTTTATTGGGTCAATCGACTGATATGAATTCTACTACTCGCTCATTGCATGTACAAGAAGAAGCAATTAGAAGCAATACAACGAAGATTTAAGTATCAAAAAGAAAATATTTTGGTGATAATAAATACGTGAATATTATTTATGTCCTGTCTTATTTTCTTCAATTTTATTTAATAGTTGGGAGTGATTATCTTTTTGGTCTGTTGTTTTCTTTTCCAACTTAGTTTGGAGTTAAACAGATTCATTGAATTAGTTTTGATCAAACTAATTCGAGAGCAAGTCATTTTGGTATCTAAGAGTGACTATAGATTCCAAATTCGATCTAAAAGTTATTCATTCTTCTAACTTGAATTCATTTGTTAAGTTAGTTTTACTCGTGAAACTTTGTAAGAATATTAGAAGGATCTCTAACTTTGCAAATTTAGCATGGTTGACGCTTATCACCGACCAACTCGAAAATAAGGTTACGACTCAATCCTAACATGTCATACTTTTAAGATTATTATGAACATCGAGAATATTTGACGTTTATAATCGAGATTAGTGATAAATTTTATTTATTAATGTAACACACAATAGATCAGTAGAATTTTTTTAAATAAATAAAAAAAAATAACCCGACCCTCTATCTTTCTACCTTTAGGTTGGGTGGAATTGAATTGGATTGTGAATTCAAGCGTGTGAAAACATGAATATTCTGTACGTGTGGATCTTTCTTAATTGAAGATCCATTTAAAAATTAGGGCACTTTTTTTTTTTATTTATTTGTCAACGATCGTAAATTAGGGCACAATTTCCTGCCCTCAGAGTTGAGCACGTTCCTTCCGACCATATAGCGGCCGCCATTGGACCCCTCAGCTCAACCAAAACGTGTCCCTTTCTTTGGTCAAACTTTCCGCACCAAATACCAAACCCCTTCTTTGAATCATTCTCCTCTCCATTACAGAATTAAAAAGAAGGTTGAGGCTTTGAATTTCTTGTGTCAAATCATTGATTCGTTTCGTCGAAGGGGTGTATATATATAAGGCGAATCCCATCCGCAGCCGGTGCGGTTTCGTATTGGGTTTTTGTTGTTTCTCTGCGATTTGATCTGGTGAGGGGTTTCTGGGATTAGGAGCCGCATTTTTGGTTTTCTTGTTTATGCCAATGGCGGCTGCGGTGGGGGGTTTGACGACGGGATTTGCCCGTCCGAGTGTTGAATCTATTGCTCCTTCGACGTCGTATGCTGCTCCAGTGCGTGTGTTTTTCAAGCCCTTGAAGGGTAGGAGAGTTGTGTTGCGGAGGGGAGGTTATTGGGGTCCTAGATGCGAGATCGATCCCAATTCCAATTCGGTTCGTAGCGATCAGATTGGTTCGAGTGCGCCTGGGCTTTCGGCTCTTGAATTGCTTAAGACGTCTTCAGTTGATAGTGAGTATCAAGAAGAATATTAGATTTCTTAAGATGATTTGTGTGTTTGAATGTTCATTCTCTTAAATCGTCCTATGCTGATGATACTCTAGAATTGATCGCATTTTCTTGCATTGAAATGAATAATAGTTTGATTGGAATATTTTGGTTTCTGGCCTGTTAGTTTCATGGGATTTTGCCAATCTAGATCATCTGGCAATCTCAGTTGTGTCAATATCGATAGCAACTCGTTGTCTTGTTGTACCATTTCTGAAAATAGAAGAAGATCATGGAAACACTTGCTCGAAATTCCTAGCTTTTGAGACTTTTATGTTTTAGATTATAAACTATGTTGTTCTTGTTCTTCCCAGTAATGGTTTGAATCTACAGTGGTAGCAATTTTGGTCTTGAAGCTCTGAAAGCTGTAGGATGGAGCTAATTGTTGTTCCCCCTTTTTTATTTGAACAGGATATACAAGAGAAAGGAGCAGTATTATGGTGATTGGGCTTAATGTTCACACTGCACCAGTTGAGTTGCGTGAGAAACTTGCCATTCCAGAAGCTCAATGGCCTCATGCCATTGGTGAACTCTGTGCTCTGAATCATATAGAAGAAGCTGCTGTTCTTAGTACTTGTAATCGGATTGAAATTTATGTTGTAGCATTGTCACAACATCGTGGGGTTAAAGAAGTGACAGAATGGATGTCCAAGGTTTGTATAATTTACTTTTATGCGCATTCTTTATGTCAAATGAGTTTATAGGTCAATGTTCTTAATATTCGTATTTTTCTCATCTGGCAGAGAAGTGGAATTTCTGTTTCAGAGCTTTGTAAGCATAGAGTTTTGTTATACAATAATGATGCAACTCAACATCTCTTTGAAGTTTCGGCGGGTCTCGACTCTCTTGTTCTTGGAGAAGGTCAAATTCTAGCTCAAGTGAAACATGTGGTAAAAACAGGGCAAGGAGTAGCTGGTTTTGACAGAAAAATTAGTGGATTGTTCAAGCATGCAATCAGTGTCGGTAAGCGGGTTAGAACCGAGACAAACATTTCCTCCGGGTCAGTTTCTGTCAGTTCAGCTGCTGTGGAGCTTGTACAGAAGAAACTTCCAGAATCTTCATATGCTACTGCAGAAGTGATGGTAGTTGGTGCTGGAAAAATGGGGAAACTTGTTATCAAACACTTGATAGCAAAAGGATGTAGGAAGATGGTGGTTGTGAACAGAACTCAGGACAGTGTTGATGCTCTAAACATGGAACTCAAAGATGTTGAGATAATCTACAAACCCCTTTCAGAGATGTTAGCATGTGCTGCAGAGGCGGATGTCATCTTCACCTGCACTGCTTCGAAAACGCCCTTATTCATGAAAGAACATGTAGCTAAGCTCCCCCTTGCACGCACAGATCTAGGAAGGCGTCTATTTCTTGATATATCAGTTCCAAGGAACGTCGAGCCATGTGTATCAGATCTTGAGACCGTATCCGTTTTCAATGTGGATGATCTCAAGGAAGTTGTGGCTGCTAACAAGGAGGATAGACTACAGAAAGTTCAGGAAGCTCAGTCAATAATTGCAGAAGAAATAAGAAAATTCGAAGCATGGAAGGATTCCCTTGAAACTGTTCCTACCATCAAGAAGTTTAGAGCTTATGTTGAGAGGATCAGGGCCTCTGAACTGGACAAATGTTTGTCCAAGATGGGTGAAGAAATCCCAACGAAAAAGAAAGTAGCCGTTAATGATCTTAGCTTGGGTATAGCTAACAAACTACTTCATGGTCCAATACAGCACTTGAGATGTGATAGCAATGATAGCAGAACGTTGGATGAGATACTTGAGAATATGCATGCTATTAACAGAATGTTTGATCTTGACACAGATTTGTCCGTCTTGGAAGAGAAAATTAGAGCAAAAGTTGAACGTGGCCAGAAGTAGGTTTGCATTTTTTAATGATGTTTTCTTTGATATTCTTACTGTTACAGCGTATTCATATCTTGTGAATGCTTGTAACTTCACTCTGTTCATGGTTTGGTTCCTCTTCATTTCATGGGGCAAATTGCCCGAGGATGCGGATAGCAAAATATGTAACAAAATGATAGATTATAGAGAAAAAATCAATTGATATGTTGATACTGGTGCCTTCTAATTATGGTCTAGATCATCTTATGAATGTCTTAATCTAAGAAACAAGTTTGCTGGATCATCAACAGTTTTAATGTTCTTGAAACATCCTTAGAAAGACCAAAACTTTGTAGAAGAAATTTCTGGATTGGATAACTAAATGGTGAACTATCTATATGTGCTTCTACTTTTACTGTTGTTTATGGATTACTTGCTGGATCAAACCCAAAAACGTCTCAATTTGAACGACCTTACCATGGGTGGTGGATCGAATTCACACTCAATTGCGTCATCGCATGGATGCCCCCACCTTTCTATCTCTTCCTTCTAACTTCTCAATCAAGTTACTGATGCTTATGGATTACTTGCTGGATCGAACCCAAAAACGTCAAACCTGAAAATGTCTCAATTTGAACGGCCTGACCATGGGTGATGGATCGAATTCACACTCAACTGTGTTATCACAGTTGCGATGGATGCCCCACCTTTCTATCTCTTCCTTCTAATATCTCAATAAAGGCGGGGATGGAATCTAAAATCCTCCCACAATCGGTTTGACAGTCTTTTCTTCACCTTCTCTTCTCGGCACGATCCATGCATTCAAGCTAGCAAATCAAATCATGGGTTCTCATCTCCAAACGTTTGGAGAGGCAAGTGAGTCGGTTGGGTAAGAATCATTTTATACGAGTACAATAAAGGAAGAAACTAGACGAAACGAGACGAAACAAAACTTTTCATTGTATTTTGTAGGAAAATCATCAGGATCAGATTACTTCTCTACAGTAAGTAGCACATACCTGTTCCATCAAAATGGCTCTACAAAACTGCCTTTGTTTTAGACTAGCTATGCATTGCATGCCTCTTTTCTCATCAATGTCTAAATGTTCTAAGAACCAGAGATATCATTTTGATGATCTTCACAGGAAATCTGCAAACATCTTGACTCAAAAATTTACGTAAACGTACCATCAATTATCCCATCTTCAAGTGATGACTGATGAGTTCGGCCAAAATATCGACCCATGTATCTGGAACTCCTGGTAAGCACCAATGCATACAGTCTTGTCCCCAAACTGCTACTGCATCTTTTCTTCCCAACCAAATGGCTGGATGGGCATCGGCTCTGAACTCGCTCATGTGAGTGAGATCAAGAACCTCGATATCCGTGTCACGAACTGCCTCGTTGATGAGACGATTTATTGTTCTTGCTTCTTTATTCACCCCATTTTTGCTTGGATCAAACCAAATGTCTAGCTGTTCAGGCATTATAACTCAATCACCTTGTGGAAGAGGAAAGTTAAAAGACAGGCTAAATTTGCTAACCTGAGATTCTTGAAGGGGTTCATTGAACAAGCAGCTGCCATTTTGATTCCATTCACCACCATAGAAATGTCTAGGGGATTGTAAACGCCAAAACTTAATTGTCTTGCTGTGAATTTCTTTTTGTATGTGGGAGACCATATGTTTAAGAACAAGTTTCAGTCCATCCAGCATTTCGAGAGCTGGAAGTAACGGTCGACCGGCTCGATAAAAAACTAGAGGCGTCTCTTTGGGAAATTTGTCATAACCCCACCTGATAAGAGTTGTACCACGTGAGATATAAAATTGGTAGTTAAAAGAGATGAAGGCGAGTTTTATCGTTTATATGGTGCTCACTTGAACTAGATTAGTATTCTAACGCGGTTTAAGTTTGCCAAGGATGAACTACCAAAGGAAGAACATTGTAACAGCTCAAGCCCACTTCTGGCAGATATTGTCCTCTTTGGACTTTCCTTTTCGGGCTTCTACGAGGGAGAAGTTTCTACACCCTTATAAGGAATGTTTCATTCTCTCCAACCAATGTGGGATCTCACAATCCACCCCCTTTGAAGGCCCACCATCCTTGCTAGCACACCACCCAATGTCTAGCTCTTATACCATTTGTAACAACTCAAGCCTACCCACTAACAGATATTATACACTTTAGTCTGTTACGTATCACCGTCAATCTCATGGTTTTCAACGCGTCTACTAGGGAGAGATTTCCACACCCTTATAAGGAATGTTTTGTTTCCCTCTTCAAAAAAATGTGAGATCTCACAATCCACCCCTTTATGGGCCAGCATCCTCGCTGGCACACCGTCCGGTGTCTAGCTCTAATACCATTTGTAATAATGCCCATCACTTACAGATATCGTTCGCTTTGGCCCGTTACGTATCGTCATCAGCCTCAAAAATTTTATAATGCGTCTACTAGGGAGAGGTTTCCACACCCTTATAAGAAATGTTTCATTCCCCTCTCCAACCAATATGGGATCTCACCTCACAGAACAACTGCATGCTCGATGGTAAGCTCTATTGATTAAATATTTTCATTTTATCCACTTTGAAGACCATGGGTTTCTACTTCATCCCAGTATAAACCAACCCCCGTAATTATTATCACCAAATTACAATTCTTTTGGTCTTTACGATCAGATCCGATAGGATTCCATAGATTCAGTCGATTGGGTTAGAATCGAGAAACTATATCATTAAGGCCCTCTATCACTATCTCTACATCCATCTACAACCCTCCCCGACAACCGTAACTTACTCGACCTTCCAACATAATCACTCACTCAGTAGACTACTTAGTATCTAACAGAAAAAACCAAAACATTGAGGACATTGGAAGAATTCTGTAGATTAACTGTCATATTACTTAAGAGGGAAAAAGAAATTACCAATGGCCAGTATTGAACACGAGAACGTCGTAGAAGTTCGTGATGTTCGCCCAATCATCTGCAGGAATATCGACATCCACACGGTACACTCCTTCTGATTGACTTTGGTCACCAGATGCAGAATGCTTTGGCTGCCACCTTTGTTCATTCAGTAACAAGAAGATAAGAAGAAATCTTACTATTCATAGGAAGGAGATAAAACAAACCAAACATAGTTGTCAGGTTTTGGTTCCACAGACAGACAATATTTATTTTGTTCAATGTTGAAACCTTTTTTGTCTTTCAACAAATGGTACATTACTATACCCACATCCGAGTTTCATAAGTAATCTGCTAAAGAAGACAGAACATGTCCTGAAACACGAACATGTTTTAGACAGCTCAAAAATAAACTTCACTGACTGAGTGGTAAATGTGACAAGATATTGAAGTTAAAGAGTATATCCCTGCCAGGTTTCCATGCAACAACTTTCTTTATCAGAGACACAAGAACTTGATCAATAGAAACAAACATGTTGTGCGAGTAATAATGAAGAGGATAAGATATCATATCCTCTTTAGTTAATGCATCCACAAAACCAACCAAACCAATTCCACCGCTATCCGATATTGTCTTCTTTGAGCTTCCCCTTTTGGGCTTCCTCTCAAGGTATCTAAAACGTGTTTGTTAGGGAGAGGTTTCCACACCCTTATAAAGAAATGTCTCGTTCTCACCCCAACCAATGTGGGACCCTTCAAAACCCAGCGTCCTCGCTGACACTTGTTCCCTTCTCCAATCGATATGGAACTCCCAATCCACCCCACTTCGGGACCCCAATGTCCTTGCTGGCAGACCGCCTTGTGTCCACCACCCTTCAGGGCTTAGCCTCCTCATTGGCATATCGCCTGGTGTCTGGCTCTGATACCAACTATAATGACCCAAGCTCATCGCTAGTAGATATTGTCCTTTTTGGGCTTTTCCTTTAGGCTTTCCCTCAAGGTATTTAAAACACGTCTGGAGAGGTTCCATACTCCTATAAAGAATGCTTTGTTCATCTCTCCAATCAATGTGGGATCTCACAATCCACCCCCTTCGAGGCCCACGTCCTCACTGGCACTCATTCCTTTCTCCAATCGATGTGAAACTCTCAATCCACCCCCTTCGGGACCCTTGCTGGCACACCGCCTCATGTCCACCCCCTTTCGAAACTCAACCTCCTCGTTGGCACATCGCCCAGTGGTCTGGCTCTGATACCAACTGTAACGGCCCAAACCCACCACTCGCAGATGTTGTCCTCTTTGGGTTTTCCCTTTCAGGCTTCCCTTCAAGGTTTTTAAAATGTGGGGAGAAGTTTCCACACCCTTATACCGAATACTTCGTTCTCCTCCCCCCAACCAACATGGATCTCACATTATACTCATGAAATTCTACTCGTTTAGCTAGCTTACACCACAAAAAACTCTAAAACATTTTAACTAACAATAGATACTAATCGTTTAGCAAGCAAGATTATGAAAAAAAAAAAAAAAAAAAAAAGCTACCAATCATACTTGTATTTGGCGAGCAACACAGCACGGTGATAAGCAACAGTGACATTGAAGTTCGGAAAATAAGCACCCTTCCAAGCTCCTTTCCTCTTCCACTTCTTTGCACCCAAATCAGCCACTCTAAGACTACACAAAAAGGAAGTCAAGAAATTCTCATTCAAAGAGTCACCAACAAACCCTATATTCCTGTTTCTCATCAGATCCAGAAATCTAAACGGATCAATCTGCGGCAAATCGCAGGTTTGGGGCACCCATTTCCACGAATTGATTGAACCCATATTGTCCCTCTGGTTCCTCAAGCAATTCCAGGCGTTTCTATGAAATGAGCAAGTCTCATCATAAATGGGTCTGCGATTAGGGTCTCGATTCCACTGACCCTTGAAGAGATCGCATGTGGGTGATGCAGAAATCTTTTTGGTTTGTGGAAATGGCGAAATGGGTGCGCGAAGAGACGCGGTTAAGGAGTAGAGAAGGAGGATCAAGAGGGGGAGAAGAATCAGCCATGGGAAGAGGGTTCGGATGAGCTTACGATGCATCGCAGAACATCGTTTATGGCGGAGAATTGTAGAAAGGAATTGCAACAGTGGTTGCTTCGGCGAGTTGTAAATTTTAGAAGCAGTAATGGGATAATTTCTCGGCTCCACTTCTACAAAGAGCTAGCATTGTTCGGTTTTTTTCTCATTTCCTTTTTGGTGCTATCAATTTTCACTAAATAATTTTCAATTTCATTACATTTAAGCTATTGAGTAATGTAATTTTAGAGAAAATGTGTAAAACTACTGATTTCAATATAAATTTGAGTATGATTAACGCATAAATTAACTCTTGAACAACATTTTCAAAACTAATCATTTTATAAACATTTAGCTCTAAAAACAACATTTCTGTTTTGCCATCTGAAATTTTGGTGGATGTGAGAAAAATATTGTTCAAATTACTTTAAATAAACTAAGTTACGAACATGAATACAAGATATTCTTACAAATTTATAGGTAGATAATTAAAATCTTAGATTTATTGGATTTTATTTGTGTATTTTAATTTTAACACTTTTTATTTACCTTTTAGGTAATAAAGTACGAATTTTAACTCTTGAAATGCATTATGGAAAGGCCGAAGGTTTTATTTTTTATTTTTTTATTTTTTTTTTGTAAAGTAGACTTGAAAATACAGTAAAAAAAATCATTTGTGTTTTTTGCCGTTTATGTAATTTAGATGAAATGTTTAGAATCATTCAAACTAAACTGATTTGAATCTCAAAACAAGCGTTAACTTCAAATATCTTATCAACAAGTAATCTTCTTGATCTTATTTGTTTTATGGACAATTCCTTATTCCTTATTGTTTTGAGATTCTTATACCGTGATTAATTTAAGGGTTATTTTCAAGGCTGGAAATAACATTTATGTTATTGCTATAGGATGAAGATTTTGAATATTAAAATGAAAGTTGCATATTAAAATGAAAATTTTAAGTCATGAACTTGTTCTTTTGCCTTTCGTATGTTTGGATCCGCATGCTAAAGTCATTCGAATCATCTTGATCAAGTTATCTTGTAGAGCAATTTGAATCGTGAGTTTGTCATTCAAATAGTCTTGATTAAATTATCTTGTAGAGCGATTCGAATCGTGAGTTTAAAAGTGTGTTTTCTTTACTCTTAATCTTGATCACCAAGATAACTCATTTCGATGATTAAGATCGAACTCCAACAGCTTCATAACAAATTCTTTGATATTTTAGATCAAATTGTTAGATCGAATTTTCATGGGTTTCAATCACATCATGATCTGAAAATTTAATAACTGTGATCTATGAATTTGCATGTTCACGAGGGTTCTTTGATCCAATTGACTAGAGTTGTCGTTTTCCGTTCTTTTCTATTGGAAACATATGAGAATATTTTTTTTAGCTCTCTCAATACTCTTTATCTGTATGAGTGAAACCAGCTCAAAATACCGAAAAGAACAAGGTTTTATTTCTTTTTTCCCATCGATCGATTATAGAGGTCAGAACCATTGAACTTAGCATCATTCCCTCCGTCTTAACCTTTTAGAACATCATAAAATGACATCGGCCTCTTTGGATTTCCACATAATTCCTGGGAAAATCAGGAGTTCGTCAGTTAACAAAACGAGGTAATAGAAACCGTTACTCTTAATCGTTCATCGTTCGGTAGCATTTCCGTTTCTTGTTTTATTTCTTAAGAAACAAGAAACACGAAAACGAGAAACAAGAGACGGGAACATTACAAAACTGGCCATAAAATATGTGTTCTATGCCAGTTTGAGTTTTCAGATCACAAGAATCAGTACCTCTATTGCAGAAGCCAAACGTAATATTGTAGCTTCACCCCATGGACGACCAATCAGTTGCAAGCCTATGGGGAGGCCTTGTTTATCATAACCAATCTGAAAGATGAACAAGTCGGAAAAGAGAACTAACATTGGCGAACGGAGGAAACGAAACTGAATTCATAGATTATCGAAAAGCGTTCGAGAATGGAAGCTACTCACTGGGACAGATATGGCAGGGAGTCCGATAAGATTGGCCGCGATGATGAACCGCATGAGGTAACCTAACATTATTCGAGCCATGAAATTTGATAGGAGCGAAAGTATATATAGATATAGATATATGCATACATATAGCTGCATCCTGCAGGTAAGTAATGCTATTTCTCGAGATTTATTCTCAACTCATTAGAGGTTGTAACGACCCAAGCCCACCTCTAGCAGATATTGTCCTCTTTGGGATTTCTATTTCGTGCTTACCCTAAATGTTTTTAAAACGTGTCTACTAGGGAGAAGTTTCCACACCCTTATGAAGAATGTTTCATTCTCCTCCCCCAACCGATGTGGGATCTCACAATACACCGGACAATGTGCCAGCGAGAAGTCTGAACCCCAAAGGGGTGGTTACGAGGCAGTGTGCCAATAAGAACGCTGGGTCCTAAAGGGTGGAGTGGATTGGGGGGTCCCACATCGTTTGGAGAAGGGAACGAGTGCCAGCGTCCACCCTAAAGGGTGGTAGATTGTAAGATCCTACATCGGTCAAGGAGGAGAACGAAACATTCTTTATAAGAGTGTGGAAACCTCTCCCTAGCAGATAGTTTTAAAAACTTTGAGGAGAGCACAAAAGAGAAAGTTCAAAGTGGACAATATCAGCTAACGGTGGGCTGGGGCCATTGTCTCTGCCATGGAAATTTGCTACTACCGATCTTGAAAGTAGATTGAGGTTGATCTTCGCACGGTATCCAAAGAGAATATATAAATATATATGTGATAAAAATGTTCAATGGATTCAATTATATGCCAAAAAATTTGTTTGAAATGCTCATAAGCTTGTCATGAGAGAACTCTTAAACCATAATTTGCATAATGTTCACAAACCTGTAACCGGCATGTCTGTCTCGCCATATTTATGAGCACTGGGAGGTATAAGTGGTGCAGTCATCCTGTTATCATTGAAGGAATATAATTTAGATAAAGAAAACGAATATAACTCAAAAGCAAAGTCTATAATGGCAACCAATGCCATGCTAAGGGAGATAAATTATATTTGGTATCTTTTCTACAATGAACGGCAGACGGTCTGATTAGAATTTTCAATACATATATAGACCCTAAAGAACATTAAGCATTGATTTGAAAGACCAAATGCAGATTCTTTATCAAAATCCTCATCATAAACTGGGATGGATGTAGTTGCATCCACGTCAATACTACTCATAGATATAATATGTGAGATCCCACATCGGTTGGAGAGGGGAATGAAACATTTCTTATAAGATACTGGACATGTTTTAAAAACCTTGAGGGGAAGCTCGAAAGGAAAAGCCCAAAGAGGACAATATCTGCTAGCAGTGGGTTTGAGCTGTTACAAATGGTATCATAGCCAATCACGGGGCGGTATGCCAGCGAGGACGTCAGGGCCCCCAAGGGAGTGGATTATGAGATTCCACATTGGTTGGGCAGGGGAATGAAGCATTCCTTATAAGGGTGTAGAAACCTCTTCCTAGTAGACGTGTTTTAAAAACCTTGAGGGGAAACTCGAAAAGAAAAACCCAAAGAGGACAATATATGCTAGCGGTGGACTTGGGATATTACAAATGATGTCAGAGTCAATCACCGGACGGAGTGCCAGCGAGGCGCTGGGCCCCCAAGGGGGTGGATCGTGAGATCCCACATCGGTTGGACAAGGGAACAAAACATCCCTTACAAAGGTGTGGAAACTTCTCCCTAGTAGACGCATTTTAAAAACCTTGAGGGGAAGCTCGAAAGGAAAGCCCAATGAAGACAATATCTACTAACGGTGGGATTACAAATGGTATCAGAGCCAATCACCGGGCGGTGTGCCAGTGAGGACGTTGGCCCCCAAAGAGGGTGGATTGTGAGATCCCACATTGGTTGGACAGGGGAACGAAACAGTCCTTATAAGGGTATGGAAACCTCTCCCTAGTAGACATGTTTTAAAAACTCTAAAGAGAAGCTCGAAACGAAAAGCCTAAAGAGGACAATATCTACTAACGGTGGGCTTAGGATATGTAAGATTATTTGGTATGCAATATGCTTTCTCAATGCTCATACTTCCTTGAATTATCAATTTAATAACAATCAATTGAGTAAACTAATTCTACTGTTCAAAGGATTGGTTACAATAGTTTTCATGACATGATATCATGGTAACAACAGAAGTGTGCTCTTTTTCCTAGTTGATGAGTATCCACCCTTCATTTTGTCTATCAACGAGTTATTTTCTATCTAATGAGTGATGATATCAGTCTAAATGATCATGTGGGTTAAAGCAGACTCCACAGATTCAATTCATTAACAGGAGTGGAGAATGAAGAACATACCCAGTTGTAGGTGTCACGATTACATCAACCTTCTTGAATATTTCCATGTGATGATGCATTATTCTCCGCCTAAAACAAAATATACCTTCATAATCCACATTTTTCGGGATAGAGAATCATAACGAAACCGAACACGGATAATTCAAAATATCTAAGAACTAGTTAGGCTTCAATAGTTATAAAAATAGTTATAAAATAATCATGAAGAAAGGTCAACACTACTAAATACTTGATATCATAATCGCACTTTTTCTTAGCGGACTTTGTGATTGTGTGGCACTCACTCCCAACACCAAGTCAAGCCAATTTGTATTTGCGTCACCTATGGTTGGGTAACGTATGCTCAAGCCTCTGACCCCGTTTGAGAAGAAGGTTTTAGAAAACAGGAGTAGACAGATTTTTGAAAGCGAGTTTGAAAGTAGGAATGAGAGAAAATTTTAAAAGCAACGTTATATAACTATAAGCAAAATGCAACACGATGGCTTAAATAGCATGTAACTTTCCGGGTTGGGGAGGATGATTTAAGACATGAAAATTTTTCTGATCCCTAGTTTATCTCACCTAAGACACTGCGCAGCGACATAATCTGATGCGGTAAACGACCGAAATAGTGCCGAACTGGTACGACTGTCGTACGTCAATCTTTTACCTTTCCTGAAGAAAATCAATATCACGTCATATGAAAGCTAAAATATTTCGATATAAATCTTCCGACGCTAGTTTCGGAAAGCCAAAGTAGATGCATACCCATCTTCACAATCAGGA